AATGATCAGCCCATTCCACCATGGCTTATTACCATCTCCAACTGTTACCTTTCCTTGAGTCATCTGAGGAAGGTGGCTACTCCCAATTGAAAGTACCATCTTCTCTTTGCTGAACATCTTTTGATCCGTTCTTCTCTTCCCATTTACAGGAATGGTTCGAAATCAGGTGACTCTGCCATGGTTTGCTGTGGCTCAGTAGTTGCTTGCAGGATCTACTCTACAGTTTCTGTGTTTACTGCCGAGTTTTATGCTATTTCTCTTGCCCTGGATCATGTAGAAGGTATGGAGTACAGTGATTGTACTATTTCCACTGATTCTCTTAGCTCTCTACTGGCCCTTGAATCACTTAATGTTAGTTCTTACCCTTTTCTTGTCGATATTCAATAATGACTGACTCATTTTTCTCTATCTTCTGTTTCCATCCAGTTTTTCAGGATACTTTGCCACATTGGTATTCATAGGAACAAGCTCACTGACACCGTAGCTAAGTCCGTCTGCTCTGGTGCCGTCACGGCCGTTTCTGTCCCATATATGGACCAGGGTCCTGTATTCAAGGCACGGCTTCTCGCCAGCTGGCAGTTGACTTGGAGTGAACAACGTTATAACAAGCTTTTCCAGATCAAACCTTCTGTTGCTCTGTGGCCGTCTTGTTTCTATAAGGATCGGAAGGAGGAACTTGTCCTGGCAAAGCTACGCATTGGTCACAGTTTTTTAACTCGTCATTTTCTTTTATCTGGTATTGACCCACCAATGTGTAGCCTTTGTGACACTTAAGTCACAATAGCACACATTTTACTGGCCTGCCCTCTTGGCGGCACCATTTTAGACATCTCTATTCAATGAGTTTACCCCTGATATTGGACGGTGTTATTGGCAATGGTGAAACTGTCCAACTTGATTGTATTTTAAATTTTTTAAGAACAATTGGCCTTTTTAATTCTACTTAAATCTTTTACCTGAATTTTGGACATATTTTAGTTTTAACTCATGTTTAGTTTTACATTTTACAATAATTTTACTTTCACTGTTTTTACCAGTTGTTTGGCACAAATAGCCTAGTTGTTTTGCTCCATAAAACGCCAACCAACCAACTCAACATTTTATATAAAAAAATCCATATCAATTCTTTTCATATTGGGATACCTCAGGAAGCTTATGAAGTTTTGGCTGTATTTATAGTTTATCCAAAAAAAAAAGTATAATAAAAGGTTTCTTAAAAAAATTGTGAAATTATATCAGATCAACATGACACCACTGCTTTGTTCTGGTTATTTGGGAATGTTCCTCAACTCCTGCTTGTGGTATTGCTTAATTAAGTGTTTTTTGTTGTATATCATAGAAATGTTAAAGAGGAATGTAACAAAATCTATTTAAATGTATACAAATACAGTAGACCCCTCCCAAAGATTAACAACACTAATTACATAATTGAGTTTTGAATTTTTCTCATTTTATATGATATTATTTTATGTAATATAATTGAATTGTTTCCATTGTTCTGTCAGTAAAGATATACTTTATGGAGTTCGTGGACTTTTGTTGTAATTTCAATATTATTCACTAATACATTTAAGTTTTGTTTTACAGCTGTGTGTCCAGAAACTTAGGATACTTATTGAAGACTCAGATCAAAATTGTGAGTAAAAGTCTTCCTTTATTCTAAATTTATATTAAGTTGTGTGTGAGGTACTAAATTACATTGTTTTCCCAATGTGCGCAAGTACAAAAGAACATAAATATCTTCTTGTGGGCTGTCTTTCGTAAAATTGTTTGTACTGTATACTTTGTATTCATTTTTTTTTTTGCATATTCTTAAATGATACTTTAATACAAAAAACTTTCAAAGTAATCCAAAATTAAATATCTCGACTCATGTCCAGTTTTTTATGGTTTATAAATAGTAATACAATTTAGAAGAAAATTATTGTGTGTTTACTTATGGCTTGTTGATTTGAAGTTAGTTACAAACTGCTTATTTATAAACAAAGCCTCAAAAATTTTGGGAAAATTTTTCACAAAATGCTTCAAAGTTTTAATCTCCTAGGTAAGTGCCAATGTAGACTGTTAGAAGAACATGCTTCGAAGTTTAACAAAAGTTAAAAGTAGCAGTAATTACTTATCTTTTTTTTTTATCGTGAGATTTTAGTGAAAGAAAAATACAAAGAACTAATTTATTATTTACTTTAAATCTTAAAGAAACTTGCAGAAAATATGATTTAGATGTTTAATAATGATGCTTGATGTTTTACTTCTAAATAAATTGTACAGTTTGTTAGAAAACTTAATAAGATTAATATTTTGACATCAGTTCTCTGCGTAGTTCAGATAGTTGTTTATTTTCCAAAAGTTTGTTGATTTTAAATTCAGATACTAAACAAATTTTTTATCATAATAGTGCTAGTTATATTTCAATAATAATAATACAAAAAGTAAAAATGAAATGTAACTTTATTAACTGTTGAATTATTGCATGTTATCTTAAGTAAAATACACAAATGTTTTTTCACATTTTGTTTGAGGCCCGGCATGGCCAGGTGGTTAGGGCGTTTGACTCGCAATCTGAGGGTCGCGGGTTCGAATCCACGTTCAACCAAACATGCTCACCCTTGCATCTGGGCAGGCATTTTTGTTGGTTAAAGAGTAGTCCAAGACTTGGTGTTGGATTGTGATGCCTAGCTACCTTCGCTCTAGTCTTTCACTGCTAAATTAAGGATGGCTTGAGCTGATAGCCCTTGTGCAGCTTTGTGTGAAATTCAAAACAAATCAAACCACATGGTGTTTGAGGGTTTATTTGGTACAAGTGTTCAACTCCAGTGCTGGAATCATCATCAGTCACAATTAGAATGTGTTAATATTTGGTCTAATGGCTTAACATTCAACTTGTGGTTCATTATATATACAGTGAAAGTTTGACAACTAATGAAGTACCAAAATTTTCTTTAATGGAATCAGTCACAATATCATTAGAAGCAGCATGAATTCTATAACATATCAAGCAGTGACAAAATAAATTGATTGACTGCATACTATTTGGAACAAATTAAACTGTATTATAAAGTTTGTTAGTACTAAAATTCAAACCTACATAACTTGCATATTGCTAGTGAACCTTAAAATTCAGCATGACCAACTTTTGTGTACTTGTATCAGTGACATTAGTTTTAGTAGTGGCCATGTGAGTGGGCCTGGGGCATGCAGAGACTAGAGGGATAATTCCTGCATTGCTTTAGTGGCTCTGTTCAGGAACTCTTACATTTTTGTGGCTAATAATATAAAATTATATATATATTCCTACATGTGAATATTGTTTGTTAATTGATTATTTCAGGAAAGCATAAAATTAGCTTAACAGCTTCATATTATATTTATCAATAAAATGAATTTGAATTGATGCTGTTCTTAAAATTCAGCCAGTTTTATATTTATAGGGGAACTGTCGTGTAGCAAACATGTTTAATTATATAGTCAGTGAAAGCGGTATTATCTTCTCTAGCTTGGTTTATCCAAGGTTGTTGTTTTTCTCTCTATCAACATTCAGAGCGTGTATATGTAATAAATCTTTCTATTGTATCTTTATAGTAAAGTATTTAGGTCTCTTGGCTATGTCTAAGATATTGAAGACTCACCCTAAAAGTGTCCAAGCCCACAAAGATCTAGTTCTACAGTGTTTGGATGATAAAGACGAGTCAATCAGACTTCGTGCTTTAGACTTGCTTTATGGAATGGTGAGTTTCAAAGACTAATATCTAATAATCTAACACTGTTAATTGAGCTTGATCAGCTTATTCTAAACTGAAGCATATTAATTTCAGTTCATCTTCTTTTTAATATTTTTATATTTTCAGATAATATCTTTGAAAAATAGAGATTATAGGTAATATGTTACCATATTTTGTGCTGTTAAGTTACAGCAGGTTACTTTGATGTAATGTTTACATTACTTACATAAGAATAGTATATTAGTAAGGAGAGAATGCAACTGTCTGTCATAACAAGAAAGGTGAGTAATACAGTACCACATTTTATGCTATTGAATTACAACAGGTTACATTGTTGGAATATTTACATTATGTAAATAGCAATAATAATACTAGAATGCTACTAGAGAGAATCTTTAGTACATAGTTGAGCATTTAAAACATACATAAATTACTTTGTTACAAACCTTTTTATTAGTTTATATATATATATGTGTGTGTGTGTATACATTGTTTTGGTTTTAAAGGTTTATCTCCAGAGTGAATATTTGAAAGTTTTTTTTTATGCTATATCAGATACTTTATATTTGAAATTTCTTTCCTTGAGAGTGGTTATTTTTGGCTAATGATGTGTTGCTTTTATTTATTTATTTATTCTTTTGCAGGTGTCTAAAAAAAATCTAATGGAAATTGTAAAGAAACTGATGTTGCACATGGATAAAGCTGAAGGCACAAATTATCGTGATGAACTTCTCTCAAAGATCATTGATATTTGCTCTCAGAACAATTATCAGTACATCACCAACTTTGAGTGGTAGGGTTTATCAACAGACATTGAAATTAGAATTTACTGCCTCTACCCTTTAATTTTGTATTGCAATATTCAGGAACAGATTCTACAGAATCAAAGTTATCATCTGCTTGTACCTTACATTTTGATAAGCAAGAAATGGGAATAATGAATGTTAAATAATTTAAAAAATAATATATATATATATTGTTAAAATAACCCTAAATTAGTAAGCTAGTGATGGTAAGGTCTGTGCAAAATAAATTGGTCATGTTTATCTTACCTTGTTTAAGAAAATATATATTTTATGGAAGTATTTTAATAAAACTTGTTGTTTTGCACCTGAGATGGTGTCTCTTCAATGATTTCAGAGCTTTTATCATAAATTTATAATCAGAGTTAATCAACAAATGTAAATGAGCTGTTCAGGAGTTTTGAAATTATAAGACAGATAGTGTATTCTTTGACAAACATTTTGTGGCTGTTGATGAAATTATGTAAACAAAGTCTTCAAAGTTTGTAGTGAATGGAATATTGTGTTGCTTATTTTCTTATATTTCTACTGTTGGGTTTATCTAAAGAAGATTAATCAACTTATTTTTAAAGTGTAAACAGTTCTAATTAATGAAAAAAATTCCATCTTAAGGTTCTTCCTACCCTGTTGGTTATTTTATTTTTTCATTTTTAAACCTTATTCCTTGGCATTGCAGTGTACCATGAATTTGTACTACTGTATTAAGTTTATGGTAAATTAAAATGTAAATTATAATTATTTTGAATATTCTTTAATCCTCAAGGTATGTAAGCATTTTGGTGGAAATTACAAGGATAGAAGGAACAAAACATGGAGCTCTAATTGCCTCACAGATGCTAGACGTGGCTATCAGAGTCCCAGCTATCCGATCCTTTGCAGTCTCTCAAATGGTATAATTTTTTTCATTCTTAAGACAGTAAGAAATATAATGTTTTATCTATGGATATATGGTTTATTATTGGCAAATAATAATTGTTAAAAGAATATTCTAATTCTTTCTTCATTTTGAGTGTTTTCTTGTAACCCTCTGTGTAATGTATTCTTGCACATTCTCTAAAGACAGGAAGTGGAATTATATATTTCATTAAGTTTACTTGAAAAGTCATTCATTGATGATGGAGATGCCATAAACTATTGTAATATTTAATCATCATTTTAATAGCGACTACTAAAGATTTTCTTTGTTAACCACAGGCAGTCCTGTTGGATAATGCACATATGCTAGTGGGGAACACGCAGAGAAATAGTATCTACGAAGTTCTTTATGCAGCGGCTTGGATTTGTGGAGAGTTTGCAGAGTGAGTGTGTTTTTAACTGTGGTGTATACACTGGTTTATCATTGTATTCTCGGTTGTGTTTCATTAACTCGCGTATATATTTGTCCAATATGATTTATATATATACTTCACTTGATTGGTTTAGCTAATGTATCCACGATGTATGGCAAAAACCAATCTAAGAGTTAATTGTTAATTAATTATTATGAAGCACTGAACCAAAATGTACCTATGTTAATAAAAAAAAAAACTGTGGATACAAGATGGATTAAGTAACAGATATTATGCTCATTACTGTAATTAGCATTCTTTACACTAGTTATTTGATGGATTTCTATAAAATTTGACAGAAAGGTTAACTGCTAAGTAGACATCAGTTGTTTGTTTGTTTTGTGTGTGTTTTTTTTATGTGAATGTAAAATGTAAACTTCAAATCTCCAATGGACTTCATTTTGATGCACTTGCTTACAAGTGCATATAATATAAAATAATATTATAACATTGGTTTTTATCTTTAAAGCAAATATTTAACAGTCAGACCACAGGTAACTATTTTATGAAGGGCTGAATTTGTGTAATGTTTTTAGTACATGACTAGATCCTCATTTATTCAGGGTCTTATAATATACTTGTAATTCATATAGTTTGTACCTAGTTTATAGATGTTTTAAGGTTTTGTATTTTAGATGTGAAGTTTTAGTATAAAATTTGGTATAAATTAAAGATGATTACTTTATCTTGTTTATATTATCTCCATTTGTAGGTATATATAATACTTTTAATGCTATCTGATTCTTCTAATATGTGTGTTACCTCAGTGTGTTCAAACTATATATACGTGTTTCAGGATGCTTAGTGATCCAAGAGGGACTCTTGAAGCTATGCTGAAGCCAAAGGTGACAGTTTTACCTCCACATATCCAAGGTGTCTATGTACAAAACATAGTAAAATTGTACTCTAGGGTTGTTGCACAGCTTGAAGCTGAGGATAATAAGGAAGAAGCTGAAGCCCTGGGTGAACTTCTGGTAGAAAAGCTGCCAATGTTTGTGCAGAATGCCAACTTGGAAGTGCAGGATCGGGTAACATGATTTTAACAAAGCTGTAGGAGTAGAGTATTATTGTCGATATTCTTTTTTAAGATAACAGCTCCTAATCTACTGTTTAGTACTTTCATACTTTTTATATCCTCCTGTGAAAAACTTCATTTTCTTAATTTGTTCCTTATTGTAGAAGTCCATCTAGTCTTTGTTAATAATGATAATTTTTTGTCTTATCAATTACAATTTATAACTAAAGATATGTTTATAATTATTAATTTTGGTTTAACCCTGAGTTCCTTTGAACAATTTTTTTAAGACAATATGAAATTTCACTTTTTTTTTTCAGTTCTCCAATAGATTAGCCAGTATTAATTAAATGTTAGCCTTAGGACATGGTCTTAAATTCCTGTTCTGTTTTTATTCACCCAACATTTAATATATTTTTCAATGCAATTTTTATCTTAATATTAATGTATTACCAGATAATACTGAAATAAATTAGATTAACTTCTGTTTTCTTAAAGTTTGGTCCTAAAAGAGTTATTAAAGATTTGAGAAAAAAAGAAAATGACCATTTTGGAACTTTTAATAGCTCAGTTATTGTTAAATGCATTACAAAACAAGAATATAGGAGCAATTGCATCCTTTTCACACACCTAATGCTGGCCTTGACAGCATAAGATAGCAAAATCTCACAGTTGGTCAAATTTTATCACGGGTTAATATTTTACTGTACAGTATTATATAAATCTAAAATGCAACTATTAATACTTTAGGTGCAAAAGAAGAAATCAATTCTCACACTATATCTTTTACCGCTAAGCTTGATTATCTTTTATTGTTTTTCTGCTAATTTTCAGTACGGTTGCCTGAATGCTTTGTTTTTACAATAGCTTATGTGTGTATGTAGTTAAGAAATGTGACAAATAATGAAATTAAAATATCTTTTTTTTTTTGTATATATTAATTAAATGCTAGCCTTTGGTCAAGTTAGTTATAGGTATTTAATACAATTCAGCTTCTGGATACATTTGCATTGTTTCTCTTCTAGTTTTTGTACCATTCTCTTAATGCATACTTTGATTATATTATTATTAACATATTTAGGCTTGTGGTGCTCTTCAACTTATCAAGCAACTTATTAAGCTTCAAAGTAAAGGAGAAGTGATAGGAGAGGAGTTGCAAGCCCTTTTTTCAGGAGAATTAAATCCTGTAGCTCCTAAAGCCCAAAAGAAAGTGCCTGTTCCTGAAGGGTTAGTGTTTTTACTAATTATGTGGTATTAATTGGATGCATATGTAGGAGGTTTATCCTCTGTTTAAAATTAACCTTTTTATTTGATCTTTATATACTTCTCCAGTGTATGTAATAGTGAAATATTGGAATTTTTTGTGGATTCTCTATTTTCTCAGATTTATTGTATTATTTTTAGTTCTGCGTACGAAATTAAAAAGCAGCTGAAAATATAGTTACCTACCAGCCATATATATGACCAAATATTCAAAATACTTTCAGTACTGACTTATCCTATTATTTTTTTACTACATATTGTATTATTTGGTCCTAGATGTAAGTTTCACAAAACATATTTCTTTTTAGCCTTGATTTAGACCAATGGATCAATGAACCTCCCTCAGAATCATCCTCAGAAGAAGAAGTAAGGGGAGACATCTTTGTGAAAAGTGATCACAGGTAAAAGCAAACATTTGTTATGTTCTGATATAGCCATATATATAATAGTATAAAAAGAGTACTTGGACTTATCCCTCTCTCCACTTGCATCTTTTTTCTGCATGTCATGAGGTTTTTAGTGAGTTACATTCAATATTCAATTAAACTACTTTTTTTTCATGATATACCAATAAATATAGCATAAAAACATAGCTAATAGTTAGTAAGTTTTAAGTTCTTAGTTTTATATGGCAATATTATAAAAAATCATGAATTTCCCTCAGTATGAGAATTGTGACATTTTCTGATTTATCTATCATCTCTAAGAAGTACGAAATTTAACGTAAATTCCTCATTATAATGTTGTCATCATTCAGACAGAGCATAATGTTTATAGTCTTCAATCTTATTTGGTTACAGAGCTATCAAATAGAAAATCAGACCCCTTTTGCAACACCCACCTCCAATATCATCTTTCAGAAATTGTCAATATTTCTCTCTGATGTTCAATACTATATTATTTATAACCAACAGAAAGCCAAGGTTTTACTCTTATCAAATGACTTATTATATTAAATTGTTTTCTGTACAGCAAATTGTCAGTTTTGCTTTCAGTTCAAGCTTTATTCTCATGGGGAAACACATCGACTAGCTTAGATGAATATTTAATGGCTCTTTTCACATAATTAGAAAGCCAGAAAAATTGTGATAGTTATGGGAAATTGTCTGCTTTTTGCTTGTCATTATTCTGTATTCTTTGGTGCATTATTTAATTAATTATTAACTGTTTATTGGAGTTTTACCATTAATATAAAAAATTAGAGTTCAGTGTCATTGACAGCAAAAACAAAAATACCACTGTTAAGTACTTTAATTCTTGTTTTTCTTGCATAATCTTTATTATTATAAAAGTAACATGTAAAAATAGATAACTTTTTAGGTTAAGTAAGATCAGTTTAGGTAAAATTGATAATAATATAATAAAAACTTTCATGAGGTACACTCGCGAGCAGCTCCTGCATAATGCAATTTGATAGTGTAATATCAGCTGCATGTCCACCAAGTGATTTGCAACTTATAATGGTGTGAATAGTAGTTACATGGTTCAAAGGACAATAAAACAATAAAATTTAAATATAAATAGATGTATACTTTTACAAGTTTAATACTATTTAGGATAAACAAATGTAGTTTCATGTCACTATTTGAAGTCATTCTAGAAAGTAAAAAGGGTAATTTGGATTTATTTAATTTTTTTTTTTTTTTTGGTGATTATAAAGCTGGTCAAATTGACCAACTTTGTATAGAGTTGTGGTAGAGAAAATAACAGATAAAATATAACATTTCACTGAAAAAAAACAAATGAAATTTATTTAGGAGGTTTTTAGAGATTATGCAAATAAAATTTGAGATTTTTGAGATGAAAAAAAGTATTTTTAATTTTAACATGGAAATCACTTTTCACTTGGAATAATAAAAAACAAAACTGTACATATTCTCGGACAAATCTTTAGCAAAAATACTTCATTAAAAAAAAATTGTGTGTGTGTATGTGTACAAAAGACTTTATACAAACATTTTGTGAAGTTACACCTAGTGTATTAAAATTAACAGTATGGAAACTGTAACAAATACAAAATAGTTATGAGGTTGGTTGAATTGACTGACCTTGTAGCAAGAGAGTTAAATTTTAAAATATTTTATTTCTTATTTTAGCTTTCTTCTGTGAATTTAGGAGTATTGGGAATTTTACCCACTTCCATTATTTTATTATATATGCAATAGAATTGGAAACTATTAGTATTATTAGAGTAAACAATAGGGCATTTCATGATGTTTTTTATTTCATGTCTAGGATGATTCAGCAGAATGATGTACATAAAATGCCTGAACTGACAGAGGAAGAACTAGAAAAGGTATTTTGAATAATTTTTGTATATTTGAAGTATTTAATAATCATTGTAAAATACACACATTAATTCTTATTACTTTTAAAACAATTGACTATATTTCATGGTGAGAAATATTATATAGTTAAAGATCTTTAACCTTATCATAACACATGAAGAAGCTTTTCATTCAATACCATGGCTTAGCCAGCCTATTGGTTTCCAATAATTCACCAGCTTTCAACATTTAAATGGTAACTTTTAAAGTATTATATTGCATATATAAATAGCATTTCATAGAGCCTTTTGTGTCATTGTCCAGCCCAACTGATGAGTTCTTGTTTCCAGTGAAAAGCTTCCTGGGCACTGACTTGTGAGAGACAAAAGATAGTTCTGGAACTATTTTTACACTCCTCTGCTTTTGAGCCGCAATGAATAAATTATAAGAAATATAAAAAAAAAAAGTGCAGAAAACTTGAATTTTTTAACAATTTTTCAAATGCTGGCTTTCAGTGTTTAAACCATAACTTTTAAATTTGTAGTTAAAAGGACATAGCACTTCTTATAAGTTAACTTGGTCTCTTTAAGAGTGTAAATTTAATATGGGCTCTGTTTTTAGCTGTTTTAAGAACTTGACCTTCAAAATTTGCTTTTCATATTAAAAATTGGTACTTGTATATGATCCTGCCTAGTTTACCTTTATATCAGAGGTTATTTTATAACATTTTGACACACGCACCAGTAAATATGTGATTTTATAAGTAATTATTAGTTATTAAAATAATGATGTAAAACTATGAATTCACATCAGATCTTTTGTTGCATTTATATATGATAACTGGAGTTTTGATATTTTTGTATTTTGTGCAGGTTAATGATCAGTATGAAATGCATAAAAGATCTGAGTCAGAAATAATAGTGAAGTAATAACTGTTTATAATTAAATTCAAATGATGCTGATCTTGTATTTTAATATTCAACGTTTTCAGAGGAGAAAAGCCCGTAAACAAGAACAAGCTAATAATCCACATTATCTGAAAGCCACTACTCCTTCAGGAAAGGTAAAACACCTTTTGACTTGAATACTTTTCACTTTCTTGTATATGATATGTGCACAATTACAGCACATTTAATTTTATACACTATTGAACAGCTGTAAACAAAAATTATCTTAATTTTAGTTGGAGTTTGCCATAACTTTTGAGTAATGGCTGTTGTTTCAAAACTGGCTTTTAAAATCCATTTGCAAAAGATACAGGCATTTAAGGCTTTTAGTTATGAGGCTGCCAACAATGATAGTTAAGATAAATGTTTCAAAACTTCATTTTTAATGCTCAGTATATACATTATAATTGTATTATGATGGACTTGTTTTACATTTTCAATAACAAATTTAACTCTTTGCATTATATTTGAAATGGAAGCTGTGAATCATGTGTTTAAAAGCTGAAACATATGAAAACCACATTACTTTTTGCTTCCTAGAATAACCATCAGAGGTCTCTGAATGATCAGAGCTATCTCTTTTCATCTCGTTCCCCTCTGAACATATTCTATATACTTTTATGCAATGCTTTTATGCAAAGAACTGTCACAGTTTTAATTTTTAGTAGTTTGTAAAGGAATTACGACTAATATATAAAAATATGAAAAAATATACTCTTATAATTTTTGTCGTATTTCATTAGTATTTTAAGTTATTTGTATTAGATTATTCTGTCATAAATCTGAAAAACAAGTTTATAGGTTTTTTTTTTATATATATATATAGTTAGTTAGTTAGTTACTATAACTTGATATGTTTTTTCTTTTTTTTTTGTATTATTTTAAAAATATAATAACTGAGATTATTTAGGTTGCATAATTTGAATTTACAATTATTGGATTGATTTAATATTATTGTGAGTTAAATTATTGAACTAATATTTTTAATGAATATTAGAGCTTTTTTTTATTTGGTTGATTTTGATTTCCATTCTTTATGTAATTTTTTCTTGGAAGCTTATCTGAAATGTTAAATACTTTTTTTAATAAATTTCTTTTCAGGTCTCATATCTTCGGACAAGTACCTCCAAGTAACAGGCAATACATCAAAGTCTCGAAAAACAAAGAAAACACGAAAGAGGAGCAAAAAAGGCAAATCTGTGGAGTCGGAAAGTGATGAAGACAGTATTCGGTCAGTCCATGTTGTGACCATAACTGAAGGAGAAATGCCTGAGGGAGCAAAAAGTTCTGATGACGATGAAGATGAAAGAAACTCGAATGATCCCCACAAAGCATTGAATATTGATTTAGAGGAACTGTAAGTACAATTAAAATTTGGGATTTTCACAAAATGATATATAAAATTTTACTCTCATTACAACAACAAAACTGAAACTATTGACTGTGTTAGATATTATTATTAAATTATATCTTGGGCCTGGAAAGAGCAATCAGCAAATGTTCATATGCTAATTATTGAGACTTCAGTTAAACAACATAATCCATGGAACGAATAATAACGAAATAAATATTGAATTTTATAATTTTACCTTGCTCACCTGGAAAAAAAAATCCTTAATTAAAATGTGACCAGAATTTGAAAAACAATGTCAAACTACTGTATTTTATTGTTTTAATTTAGCTATTCAAAATTAAGTTTATCTTTTCACAAAACTAACCAATTTTGTACATTCTTACTCACCAATTTAACCACAGCTAATAAATATATGATAAAGGCAGATGAAATGCCAATAAACATTTGAAACACTCCTTCCATTGTTTTTTGTAGCTAACACAATTTTCATTTCCGTGCTGTAAAAGCATAGTTATATGGTTTTTTACAATTACTCTGCCATATTTCAGCCAGTTTACATGGGATTTGGTGAAAATATATTTTTTTACAGGTCCCAAACAGAGATGTAAACAATTTTGGAATTTTTGTCTTTTGCTAAATTTTTCAGTGAGGAAAGCACAATTTGGGGTTTTCATGAACTATTCATGTGTATGTCAACCATGGAATTTGGTACCCAGATACCTTCTTGCAGATCCCAAGCAGTGATATAGACAATTTTCAAATTTTCTGTGTTTTTCACGATTTTCCTGGTGTCAAAATTAACCATGTTGGGATTGCGTGGCAAGGACATGCTGCCTCTTTAATTACATTCTAAAGTCATCAGCTATAAAAGGTCTGAAAGCAAGGATTATTTTATTTGCCACAGAGTATGAATTGGGAATTTCTAAACTTTCTTTAAAACATTCAGCTGTACCATAGTTTTATGTTTCTTATATACCATATGGATGTAATAATTTATGGTTAGTGGTTTCCTTGCTAATATTTTATTGAAGTAGTTACTTTGGCAGACTGCTCTTCACTTTACAAAAACTCTCATTGATAATTTGAAACATGAAGTTTTATGGTGGACAATGCAGTGGCATGAGTTTAGAAATTAGTGGGGGGGTCTTAAACAGCTGAACATTGTTTCTAAAAGGATTAGGGAGGTAACATTAATGAGATAAATACTATATTTTGTATTAGTTTTAATGGTAAGCAAGATATTTTATTGCAAAATATCTTTGAATGAAGTGGACTATTGAATAAAGAGAAATCAGTCATTGTTATCTTTTGTCAAATAATCAAGGAATTTTACATTAGTCTTTAAATACATGCATTCATTATTTGTTATTCACCAGATTTTGTCATTTTTTGGCCCACATTAAAATGTGTACATTTTTGGGGACACTCGATATATTTATGAATTTT